AAACCCCAATCCCCAAACCCTAAGTCATGGTAATAAACAGTAGCAAGGTGGGTACCTCGGCTCTCATGGCAGTTCACTCCGGAGTGCCGGAACCTGGGCAAAAGGGTTTAGGGTTTTGGGTTTAGGGTTCTTATGGGGTTAGGGTCATAAGGTCTAAGGAATATTGGGGTTATAATATGAGGATAATGGAAAAGAAAATGGAAACTACTATATTGGTTTCATAGGTTTAGGGTTTAGGGTCTAGCGTTTTAGGGTTTTGGGGTTTTGGGGTTTTGGGGTTCAGGGTTTAGGTGGGAAGATTGCGGCTATATGAGGATAATGGAAAAGAAAATGGAAACTACTGTATTGGTTTTATAGGTTTAGGCTTTAGGGTTTTGGGCTTGGGGTTCAGGGTTTAGGATTCTTAGGGGTTAGGGTCATCATAAGGTCTAGGGTTCAGGGTTTAGAGTTTTCAGGGTTTGGGGGTTTAGGGTTTTAGGTTTGAGGTCTTTGGTTTCAGTCTTTTAGGTTTAGGGAACTTAAGCTGAATTACCACATTAGATGCCCTTTTGAGGGCTTATGGGGTCATGTCCAGGGTTATGTCGCCGTAGGGTATCTTAAGCAACTTCCATGGGGTTATGGACAATTGCAGATGCTTTTTCCTGGGTTTTCCATCCATTTTCGTCATTGTGTTTTGAGGTCTATATTTGGGTTCCCTCAGCCTTATGTATGGAAACTACCAAGTTCAGTTACCATGACATCAATGTAGGGGAACGTGGGGCAGATGGAAAAGACAACAAAGAATATAGAGAGGTGGAGAGTTTAAGCTAAAGAAAACAAGCTCCCTTCAAAGGGGCTATGCTAGGAATAAATCGTGACTAGTATGGTTTCCTTGCGAGGGCAACATCTTTTACAGTAAGTTCCTGAACAGCCGTTTAAACCCCGGCAGCTCCGCACTGTCTATTTCATAGTCAATTTTGTGTATGTTTTTGATGGGACTCTTAATTATTACCCCGAACCCCTAGACCTTGGTCCCTAAACACTATACAAGTTTCCCTTTTCCTACCCCTATACAACCCTGTATGTCCCCAAGCCCTGAAACGCTAAACCCTAAACCCTAAACCCTAACCAGCAACCCAGGAACTGCGCTGGAAATGTAACTTCCTCTATTCCATTGGCCCCCGCGAACCAGATCAACGTCACCAATGGAACGTGTGTGAGCTGGTGCCAGTGGGTTCTCTACCTGTCCGGTGAGCAACCTCCTTTTTTTGGCTTATATACACGGTATAGGGTTGAGGATTTAGGGTCCAATTTTGACCAAAAGGCTTAGCATTGGTGCTTGAAGAATTGTTAGTCTTATTCTCCAATAAGCCTTATACAGCCACCCTATTACTATAACCTATCTCCAAGCCCAAATGGTAGTTTCCATAAATGTGGGGACAACCAAAAGAAAGCCTTGATTTTTGCAAGCCCTCGACCCACATCCCTAAACTATACATATCCACATTTTATATACATATCCACATTTTAGCGCCCCCAAATATTATCCCTGAATCCTCTCTAGGAACCCTTTTGAAGGGCTCATGGGGTAACTACTGGACGGCTACTGCATCCACTGCTCCATGGCGGTAACCCCAAACTCTAAACCCGAAGCCTTACAACCTAAACCATAAGCCGCACATCCGAAATCTTAATCCCTGAGCCCTTATAAACCCTGAAGCATAAACCCTAAATCCTAAACCCTAACCTGAACCCCTAAAGTATGTAGGATTATAGCCTTTGGGGCTGCTTTAAAGGTTTTAGGGTTATTATTGTAAACGCTAGCGCGCGCCCGCCTCGGCTGGCGGGGCTTCCCACTGTAGGAACCTGTAATTATAGATATACAGGTATTTAAGTTAGGTATATGGATACAGTCATATGCCTAATACATA